CATTCTTGCCTTCCACTCGCCCTTCCTTCCTATCTAGGGCCCGTCATCTACCGCCACAACGGGCTTTCCTTACTAGTTTTTTGTATCTCCCCCCCCCCCCCAAGTAACACTTACGGAAGTCGCCTGGGGATTGTCAGCATGACCCCGAAGGAGCTCCTCTGGAGGGTTCAGGGGTCTGATGTATCTAGTAACGAACACGGTTTTCCCATTAATGTCAATGACGGTCGTCAGGCACTGGCGGTTCGGAAACTTCAGCAGACATTCCGCCTGATACTTTTCAGCTGCTTGGAGTAGCTTCTCATCTTCTTGGCTGTCAAACTTGGAAAAGAGGAAGCATCTCAGACGTGGACTCCTAACGCTCTCCAGTTCACATACGAGGGACCAGATTTATATTCCACTGTGGTACAGGAAGAACCCACACTGTGGGTGTAATTTATAAGAGAGCTGCAGGACCCTGTTTCTATTTCGACTTTAGATGGCAGGGATAAAACCAACAGCGTAATTGACACAGGGGATCTTTTACCCTACTGATTTTCAAGGTTGCTCACCAGAAATGTAAATTAATATTTATCCTTTATCCCTTCTATTTTTCCTGTGCATTTTGGATTTTTAATAGCTTTTATCCTTTTGCTATTCTTTTCTTTTGTTACCACTGCTGAATACTTCCTTAACAATTTTTTTAAAAGTAGGATATCCTTATGCTTTGCTTCTCCTCTGTTTCAGATCTCAGGTTGATTCAAGATTTCTACAAGTCAAATCCGACTGCATTATCTATTAGATGTCCCATCTTGTTGATTATACTGATTTATTAAGAACTTAAGAAAAGTCCTGCTGGATCAGACCAGTGGTCCATCTCGTCCAGCATCCTGTCTTACATAGTGGCCAACAAGTTCCTCTGGAGGGCCACAACAGGGCATAGAGGCCAAGACCTTCCCCTGATGTTGCCTCCTGGCTCTGGAATTCAGAGGCTTAGTGCCTCTGAATGTGGAGGTTCCCCTCAGCTACTGTCCACTGATAGACCTATCCTCCATGAAACTAATTCCATTTTAAAGCTGTTATTCCTGTGGCCATCACTACATCCAAATTTTAATCACTTGCTGTGTAAAGTAATATTTCCTTTTTTTCCATTCTGAACCAACTGCCCATCAGCTTCATTGGATGCCCTCCAGTTCTAGTATAATGAGGGGGGAGTTCTCTTTGTCAACTGTCTCCACCCCAAGCATAATTTTATAAACCCCGATTATGTCCCCCCTTAATCGTCTCTGTCCTAAACGGAAAAGTCCCAGACTCTTCAGCCTTTCCTGTATTCTGCATAGTCCCCTTTGAGCCCCACCCAGAAAGGCAGACTATAGATAACATAAACAAATATATATAAAAAAAATTGTAAGCAAACAAGTAAATGGCATTTTGCTGTGCCATCGGCTGTGAAATCCACCAGCTTGGCAAAGACCCCAACCATTTTAGCAGCCGATTTTCTTTGCCGTTAAGTGCTGGTCTGACGGGAATTTTGTGTGCCTGCTTTGCTGTCTCAGCTTAGGTTTTATATCCAAGTTCAAAGCATCAAGAATGAATTAATTCAAAGGGCCTGTGGTGGAAACAGTCAGAGCTGAGACCTGAACAGCCCCGGCTAGCCCCATCTGCTCAGACCCCAGAAGCTCAGCAGGGTCAGCCCAGGCGAGTCCTTGGGATGGGAGACCCGCCAGGAAGCCCAGGAGGGTCGCTATGCAGAGGCAGGCCATGGCCAACCACCTCTGGACATCTCTTGCCTTGGAAACCCCATGAGGGGTCGCCGTACGTTGGCTTCAGACTGACAGCACTTTACACACCCAAAGGTTTTCAGTCTTTCGGACAGTGATACTCGGCAGCTCAGGAGTCACCTGCGGCTCCCCAATATGGCGGCTCCCCATGGTTCAGTGAAGCAGGCAAGATCCTAGCCTTGTGGGGCTTGTGGGTGGCCGGCGGTTCCCACCTTGAAACAGCCTCCAGTAATGCTGGAGGAAAGATTTCTTCCTGAGACCTTGGAAAGCCACTCCTAGCCTGGAGGGGCCACGCAGGTCAGAGCGGTCTGACTCAGGGAAATGCTGGTGGCCACTTTGGGGACAGGAAGCAGTCCTGGAGGTTTCTTGCCATCTTCTGGGTGCAGAACAGTGGTCACTGTGGGTGTGGAGGGGGAGGTATTTGTGACTCGATGACCCTGGAGGTCCCTTCCAACTCTATGATTCCGTGATTCTGGTTCTAGGAGGGGCTCACTCCTTAGGTTTGCGGTTTCTGTGTCATGGGGTCCCCCAATAACAGCAAAGACTTAACACATGTAAGATTCAATAAAAGAAATAAAATATTAACCGAAAGAGACAACAAAGACGCACCACGGCACCAAAATTAGCCAGGTAGCCAAATGCCTTCCAGAATGGAAACATTTTTAACCCATTTAAAACAAATGTGCCCCCCCCCCCCGATCTGGATAGCCCAAACTAGGCGGATCTCATCAGATCTCGGAAGCTAATCAGGGTCGGCCCCGGTTAGCAGTTGGGTGGGAGACCACCAAGGAAGTTCACAATTGCTAAGCAGGGGAAGGCAACGGCAAACCACCTCTGACTGTCTCTTGCCTTGAAAACCCCTGCAGGGTCACCATAAGTTGGCTGTGACTCGATGGGGGGGGGGGGGAAGCAGCAAACTAGCTGCAAGTCAGTTCCTCACTGCCACACGCAGTCCGACTGACACCTGGAGCGGAGCCGCCCTCAACTGATGCCCCGGCAGCCTTGGAGTGGGGGAACTCCGCGGGAAGTCATTCCTTCGGATATACTCAGCCAAAACCTCTTAGGGGAAAGGGTGGGAAGAAGGTGCTCTGCCACTGGATCGCTGGCTTCCGGGTACGGTGCAAAGGATATTGCATTACATTGGTCTGATCCATCAGGGCCTTACTTAAGTTCTGAAGAAAGGCTTGTTAACTCTGGATCAGGAAATTCCTGGGGGATTTGGGGGGGGGGGGAGAGAGGGGGGGGGGGGGGGGGGGGGCGCTACATGTCAGCGGGGCAGTTCAGCTGGTCGGTGGGCCTCATCCGCGCCGTGTCAACCTCGTAGGACTGGAGGATGTCTTTCATTGTAAGTCCGACCGACGTAGTCGACCTGGGAGAAAAACCCCTCCACTGGGTGCCGGTAGGGATTGTCCCCACCCCTAATAATTGTGGCCATAGGTTAGGGATAAATGAGTAACTAGAGCCGCTCAGAGACCCCTTAGGGGGTTAGAGCGGGGTAGTAAGCTGAAATAAATAAATAAAAATAAATAAATCTCCAGGTCCCGGCTGGAGGCTGGCAACCTTACACACCACACAAGTCAGTTATGCTTGATCCAGTGGAGAGATCCTACACGTCGGGTCGTGCTCTCTCAATCTAACCTGCCCAGCAGTCAGGCCTTTCCCAAGCACTGGTCCAGAAACTCTTACAGTGCTTTCTTTCTTTCTCTCGCTCTTTCTTTCTTTCCTTTAGATTTACATCCCGCCCTTCCTGTAAGAGGGTCCAGGGCTTCTTAAAAGGATGTGGAAGGAGCAGCGGCAGAGCACCTGCCCCTCTCCACTGAACGGTCACAACCAGCAGGAAGGAAAGTCACAGGCCGTAGTTTTCCAATTGGTGATTCTCACAGTTAAGCGAGGGCTAGAAGGAAATCAGGTGTGTGTGTGGGAGGCTTAAATGGGAATGACAAGACACTCAAAACAACTTTTCTTTCTTGCCCTCTCTCGCTGCTTCCTAAGTTTTGAAGCTCTCTGAGTAGAGATGTGAAGGCCTGGAAAAAAAAAAACGGAAAAATTCAGAAAAAAACTGGTTTTTTCCCCGTTTTTTTCCTGAAGCCTTTTTTGTTTTTTTCTGAAAAATTGGAAAAATTGAAAAAAGAAAAGAAAAGAAAAAAATTGATTATGGAACGTTTTATTTTAACATGATGGATAAAATATTTTAAGACAAGGTGTTCAAATATTTTCCAAATCATTTCTAAAATATATATATATGGTATTAGATTGATCTAATTTCTGTGCACTGAGGACAAGCAAGTCCTAGGTTACAAACTGAACTCTCCAATGCAAGAACAAGATGCATTTCTTCCTTTAGGAGGTGCTATTCTCATGAGAAAAGAAAAAGGTTTCAGTTTAGTTTTTGCATGTGGGCGGGTATTCTGTTTGTAATAACTATTTGGATACGCTATATTTTTAATATGCTAGTTGTGATAATTTCATGCCAAGTAAAAATGTCCATAGTCATATTTTATGTTCCTAAAGTAACAGAATGACTTTCAATCTAGAAAAGACAAAAGAAGTGCTAATGTAGCATTTTTTTCAATTTTTCCGAAAATTTCCGTTTCCCCCGAAAAAAACTGGGGGGAAAACGTTTTTTTTTCTGAGCTTCAATTTCCGGAAATTTTACATCTCTATCTCTGAGTGATTTCTTACAGATGCTTCTCATTAAAGCAACAATCCAGGGTAACTTTCAGCATTACACCGTAATAACCTCTACACAGACAGAGTAACACTTTGCTACTTAAAAATAGGGGGGTGGGAATGATCATACACTTAAACATTATGTACCTTCTTAAGCATGTCAGTCATCTATACAAGGTAAGCAGAAAAAGAAACAAAAGGGTTTAAAAAACCAAAAACAACATGAAATAAAGCAATGGAAAAATAGTAAGTAACACAGAAAATACAGGTAGACATCAAATGTCTTAGTGAAAAGTTTAGAAGTAATGCCACAGGAAAAGCACTGTCATGGGGGTATACTTGAGGTGAGCCCAAAACGTGCCCTCCATCTTTGAAACTGTAGGTCCCAACCTTCTTTACCAGGGACCCTGCCACGGGGAGGATAAAGGTATCTACATTCACCTACTTCTCCTTCTCCATCCTGAGGTCACGAATGTTTAGCAAACTGTGTAACATTATCTCCTTCGAAATGGTCTCCATGCAGTCACATGTTTGGGGACAATGGTCATGAGGACAACATGAAGAAGTTTCCGGAAAGTTCTGGAACTGAAGAGGGGCTAGCCGCGGCTGTATGACGCCTCTTCCACAATGCGAAGGGCAGGGTCCTCCCTTCTCCCCTCTCATCTTCCCACAGTTGCAATTGCAGGAAGGAAGGTTCAGTCCAAAGCTCTGTATTACTGAGCAGTCAGTCAGTAGGGCATAAGAGAAAAAAACCCAAATAGGGCCTCTTCTTCAGTGGCACCTTGCTTAGCCCCACCCCCGGCAGTGATTCACTCGTCACCTAGCAGGAGACAGTCTTGTTCTCCCAGGGCTTTGGCCATTCGGTTTTACATTTGATTAGTACTGAATGGTTCACTGCTGGCTTTTAAATCTTTTCCCTCCCCCAGCTGTTCCCTGCAGCTTATAAACTGCTGTTGTTTTACTGTTGAATTGTCTTTGGTTTGCATTTATCTGTCTGGTTATGAACTGACTTAGGAACTGACAGAGTATTATTTTGGGAACATTTCAAATAAATAACAAGCTTTTGTTCGGTGGTTTAAAAGTGGTAATTATTTGCGGTAGTTCAGAGCCTTCAACTCAAAGCGTGATAGAAAAAAAATACTAGTGCTAAGAACAACCTTCACATTTTAAGAAACAGTAAACAACTATTTTGTAAAATGTTCTCACCTGAGCAGCATCTGCTTCCCTTCTCTCAGAGCAATTTACTCTGTACTGTCTAGCTAGCAGTTTGGTAGAAATCAACTTGCAGTAATTCTAATTCCTCTTCTGTTATTGTTAAAGGTAGCAAAATAATAGCTCCTCCTCAGCAGATGTTATGTTTTTCCTTTTCTAATTCTTATAAGTTTGAATTTTGCTTTCACTAGCTAATACTGTTTCTGCAAACATAAAGAACAGCTGAAGTCAGCACAGTCTGAAGGACTCATAAAAACCCTCTGATTTTCTCATGCAAGTTCAGATGTTGCTCTTTTTCCAATGCAGAACAACTAAAACCAGTCATGGAAATCTTTAAAAATATGGAGGACTACAAAGCTTTAAAGCTACTTGTGATGTTGGGTGCAGTTAAAGTAAGTTTCCGCTGAACTCCCACCCAGCTTCACAATTGGGTACAAAGAAAAAAACAAATATTTACTAGTCTGTCAAGTTTATCTCCTTCAGTTGTTTTCTTTCAAGCCTCTGATTTTAATGCTATTTTTATGATTTCTGTTATCAAGATCTCCAATCTTTTCCTCAAGGTCTTGCATTTTAACCTTATTCTCCAAGATGATGTTATCAGTTTTAATGTTCTGTTCTATTGACTCCGCTTTTTTAATCAATTCAATTACTACAGATTTGATATTTTTTGTCTCTTGGATATTGTTTAAAAAATCAGCTTTTTCTGTGTAACTGAAGTCTTCTTTCTATAAGACCAATTTTTGTTTGCTATTTCAGTTTTAAACTATCTAATTTAAGCAATATATGCTGATCTAATTTCTGAAATTTCAAAGTGAATGAATCCAAGCGGGTAATGCGTACTCCACTTCACCTTCAAATGGCATATTGCCAACTTTTTTCTCAGGCATGGCTGAAGAGTAATTATTCAATTTTAGACAGTATCTTACATAACTACCCAAATATTTAACCAGCTAAATGACTATCACATAAATAATTAGAAGAAACTGTAACTAAACAAATGTAGTTTAATAAACCTTTAGTAATATTCCAGTTCTTTATCTTTTAAATTAACCAGCTATCTAGCACATGAACCTCCAAAAGAGCCAAACGTACTTAAATTGCTAAATATTAACTAATGTTCTATCTAAACACTTAATTAGCCAACTAGCAAATTTACTTTTACATAAACAACATAAAGAACAACAGCTAAGTGCTAAGTTTAGATGCTATTAACCTCTGAAACACACCTTACATTGTAAATCTTGACAGCTATGAAAAGAAATCCCAATGGCACTAATGTAACCAATATTATCAAGCCAATGACTTAATGTTTTAGGTACTCGCTTAAATACCTGTACAATTTTTAAAATAATAGTAACCTGACCAGCCCCAAACTCTCCTGAGGGTCCCAGGAGGTTGCTCATGAAGGTAGGTTGCCAAAAATGTGTCTCGGTGCCAATCTTCGAGGCACTCACAGAGCTGGGCGTCTAACCCTTTCTTTTCTGCCCATAAGGGAAGAGGATACCAAGCCACATGATGGGGACAAGAACAGAGCCAATGTCACTGGCTCTCAGTAGGGCATAAAGGGAAGAAAAAAACCCAGCTGCCTGCCAAGTTCCAAAGCCTCAATTTGCTACAATCTGCTGCCAAAAATGTGCCAATCTTCTGGGCACTCATGGAGCTGGCTCTCTTCCCCCTTCTTTTGCTCTCCCAGTAGGGGAATTCTAGAGGGTGCCACACGATGCCCTGGGGCCAAGAACAGAGCCTGTCCTTCTGGCTCTCATTAGGGCACAAGAAGAAACCAAGGAACCTGTTGGAAGCCACCCTGAGCCTGCCTTTGCGGGGAGGGCGGGGTATAAATTTGACTATAAATAAATAAATAATAAATAAATATTTTGTCATCTCCAACAGCAGGGCCTCTTGCATGCTGCTGTGACCCGTGGCAGCACATTTCTTGCATGTTGCTGTTGCATGTTGCCATGAACAATCTTTCTATACTTATTTTCAGTGGGACGAAATGTTTAATCAGAGAAATGTCACAACAGAATGTCTAGCAGCAACCCACCGGTCACTTGTACTAAATCTATCCCTGTTATGTTTGATAAAACTACAGCTGTTAAGTGGCAAGTGAGCTGATTTTTAAAACTGATTTTTAAATTGTACCCAGAAATAGAGCTGGCAGAGGTTTACCTTTTCCCGAACCGATTCTCCGGGGATGAGCTGTGGTTCAATAGTAATGAACAGTGATAGATAGGAGCCTTCAGTCAGATTTCGAACGGAATCATAGCCTCTCTCATTTCCTTGATTTTTCCCCTTGATATACCCAAGAAGAACTGGGGGGGTATCGATCTTAAACGTACCATCGATCTACAGGAAGATAAACAGAATTGAATTTTTTCAGTTGGCAGTTCAGCATTCTCAGTCAACTTCAGTCCCCTTTCTCATTCTCTCAACACTCTGGAAGGAGGTGTTGTTTTGAAACCTCCACACACAACACCAGGCCCCAGAAACGGAAGGATGACTCCCCGGATGACTGGGGAGAGGGCTGTGGCTAAGTGGCAGAGCTTCTGCTTTGTATGCCGGAAAGATGCAAGTTCAGTCCCCGGCATCTCCATTTAAAGGCTCAGGCCGTCGGTGATGTGAAGGACTCCTGCCTGAGACCCTGGAGAGCTACTGCCTGTCCGAGGAGACCAGACTGACGCTGACAGACCAGTGGCCTGATTCCGTGTAAGGCAGCCTCATGTGTTCATGTGACGCCGAACTACTTACTCTTCCTTGAAAATATATTGTTGTAAACGGGATCCGCACCGATCCAAGCCAGTGCTTCTCAACACGAGTGTGGACTCCTCCACTTTCTCTTTCGCGATCATCCTAGGAAAACATCACAAAAATTCCTGGCAATTATTTGCTAAGATACAGTGTCCGGCCTCCACGTTTTCTACTGCTCCCACAATGCTGCCTCTGCATTTTTATTACTCTCAACCTGGGATAAATGAAAGGAATTTTCTCCCCACGCAGAACTGGTAATTATACGGGATGGAGCAAACCGATGCTCTGGAGCATGCTTGTGCTAAACGACAACGAGGGAGCGGGCGCTGGCCTGACAGCAGGCTTCTCCAGGGAAACGGAAGAGGGTGGACTGACTTCTAATTCACTTCTTGCATGCCCCTCCTTTCTCTCCAACGGGGACACCACGTGTCTTGCATTGTTCTCCTCCCCTCCATTTTATCCTCACAACAACCCTGTAAGGAGCATGGTTAGAGTGTTCTGACTGGCCCAGGGTCTCCCACCAAGCAGAGTGGGGATTAGAACCAGGGCTGTCATTACAGCACACCAGCAGAACGGCCGGTGTTCCCCGTGGTCGCTTCCAGTTGTCAGGTCTTGGGCCCAAGTACTCTCGTGGTAGCAATATTTGTTTATTGAGAATTACAGGTCATCCAAGCATATACAGAGTTCATGTTGGAACTATCGGCCCCAGGCTAGGGCCAGACCTATACAGAGCATGGGACCACCCCTGGTTCCCCAAGTGCCCAATCATCCATTCCCAGACAGCCCATCAGAGCTTCAAGCTCAACCCCATGCCAACCGCTACAAGCCCTAGGCCAGTGAAGCAAAGATTCACACATGCACTCACTCCCAAAGAATGCGCATAAACGAAAGCAGTGGGAAAATATCAGAGAGGAGGAAAGGAGTTAACTCTTTATGTTTTTTCCCCTTGATGTAACAGAACGGTAGTGTCAGTGGAAAACAACCCATGACAAGCGAGGCATGAGCTTGACACCAGTTCACTCCTGTGTAAAATTTCTTCCCATGCAAAGACAAAGGTGAGCACGACAGCACCAAGCTCTTCTCTGGCTTGGCTTGTGTCATGATCTGGGCTGTGCCACCAGAGGCCTACTAGGCCTAGGGAGCCTGGCTAGCAGTAGGTGAGGCTGGGCCTACAACTCCCAGAAGCCCCTGAGAGGTTTTGGAGCCAAAATTGACCAACAGGGAAGAAGAGGGCTGGGGAACAAAAGGGTTGGTGTCAGAGCAGAAGTTGTTTTTCTTCCCAGAGGGCAGAGCCAGAAGGAAGGCTGCTGCAGGGAAGAGACCCTCATCCTGAGGGAAGGGTGAGTAGTCTAGTGCCACTTGGAATAGTGAGCTAGGGACAGTGTATATTTAGACACATTAGGACATTTGATTTCTTTTCTTTTCACCCACTTACTGTTATATTTCTGCACCTTATTGTTTGACCTCCTATAAAATAAACTATTTTCATTGTTCACTCTGCCTGGTCCTCATGCCTATTATTCAGCCAAAAGGAAGGTCTAAAGGTCTTGGGAGGGTGCTCTGAGCCTTCTCAAGGCAGCCTGGAACCAGAGTGGTGGCAGCGTCAAGTGACAACCCACCTGAGCCATGACAGCTTGTTTGACAGATCTGTGCCAGAGAAGACCATGGCTTTGTGGTAACACTAGAGCAGAGTAACACCAGTTCTGCAGAGGCACAGCTAAGTTCTGTGATTATGCCCTGGTTATTATTGCACCCTGGGCTAGTCCCTTCTATTCCATGCTCTGCCATATGCACCAGAGGCAGCAGAGCAAAAAGTGGGACAGGTGCATTCAGTCACAAACCACAAAGATGCTTCACCATGCAAAGAATCCAAATACATAAGCTGTGAAAAATCGACAGCTTTTGAGATGCCGCTGAACAGGAGTCAAGCATTTTCTCAGCTTTTTCTCCTTGGAGGGAATAGCTGCTCCCAGGAAATCTGGTTATGCACTGCTACGGCAAAAGCAACACAAGCAGAATGGCTGCTGCCGCTGCCTCACTCGCAGTTGGATGAACATTTCCAGTCTGTTTGCAGCCTCGCCATCCTAGACAAGGCACCAAAGAGGGAACACTTTCCAGGGGGGGCAAAAGTGAGCCCCTCCATCCCTCCTCCCACCCACTCCTCAGCCCTCGTCAGCTGACTCCCTCCCGGCTGCAACTCATAGAATCTAATCCAGACTGCACAGAAGCCAGTGACCCCATGGAAAGGTGCAGGGGTCGCAGCCTTGCTAAGCTGGAGGCTCTGTGGGTGCCCAGCACCCGTGGGCTCTATTCGGACCCCAAACCCACTCAGCTTTTTTGTGCCTTGCCCCCCCTGAACGTATGCAGCAGGATCGCTTCCAAAATGGATAACACCAGCCAGGATCTTTGGATTTTTTGCTCACCTCTAAGACGTCATATAGCACTTCATCAAAAATGTTAACGAACACGTCATCCTTCACTGATTGCAGGCCGGAAGTGCTGTAGTCACCACTGGGGGCTCTATGGGGATTAAAAAACAACAACAACTGGACTAAATTTCAAAAATTTCCCATTATACACATCAAGTCCACCACTCTTCCAGCACTTTCCCTCTCTTCCTTTCAAGGACGTCAATGCCTCCCATGGAGTAATACAGGAAGAGTTTACAGAGCTGCCATCGGGAAGAGTGCTGAGATGGGGGAAGACAACTAAATGACACCCCCACCCAGCCCATAAGTGTGGCATGAAGGTAACAGCCTTCTCCGTTTTCCCGCACCAACTGATACCAGGAGATGTATGACCTCCAGTTTGGTATCTATTTAACTCATCCCCCAATTTTCTTCCCCGGTGGGCACCCAGAGTCATCACGACATCCTCCTCTCCTCATCCTGTGACTGGCCCAAGGTTGCCCAGTGAGCTTCCATGGCAGAGGAGGGTTGGAAATGGGGTCTCCCAAATCCCTGCCTGACACTTTAACCATATATGCTTTATGAATCTGCCTGGCCTCCTTTGAAAGCCAGGGAAGCCAGGAGCCCTGGCAGCAGTGAATTCCTTAAGTTAATTATCTGTTCTGTAAAGAGGTGCCAGTCAATCTCACGGGGCATCTCTAAATTCTAGAAAGATAAAAGGTCGTCTCTATACACTTTCTCCATACCACGGTGAATTATCTAAAATTCTATCATATCCCTCCTTAATTTTTTTCCATCCTAGACTTAAAAGCCAACACAAGACTGTTCCTCATTCAGTCATGCTGTGATGCACAAAATGGAAAAAAAGGTTTTATAGATGCAATCGCACCGAAATGGAAGTTCAAGCTCTTCATTCCAGTTGGGGTTTGGCCCTTCAGCAGTTGTCGTCCGGCAAATCATTCGCTGAAAAGAAACTTCTATAAAAGGTCGTACTAAAACCTACAATAAAAAAAAGAGAAGAGTCCACATTTTCCTGCATCTTATGGCAGGAAAAGTCATATGGCTTTTCCACATTCTCATTTTCCCATTGCTTGGAGGGGAGGGGTTCTTTTCCACACATGTTTTGCTCTCTCTAGTGGTTGAGCTGATATTGCACTGTTTTATGTCCAGCATAAAAACCTGCACTTTAAATCTGCAGGGAGATAGGCCAGACATACAGTGATATAATATCAAATCGACCACTAGAGGGAGCAAATTTAATGTGGAAAAGAACCCCCTCCTGAAAGCAATAGGGACACACAAGTGACATTAATGAGAATGTGGAAGAACCCATAGACTGTATAAGCCAGTGTGCCTCATTTTTTTTCTAGGCTATGTACACTCAGGTTTGCACACAAACACTCGAAAAGTACCTTCCCCCAGGGAAAGGCACTCTTCTGATCTCTGAGCTGCTACTGCTGCAGGACTTACGATCTCACTGAGACAGCTGCTGCATGTAACAAAAGCATAGAACTGGACACTACTTTGTTTTCAAATCTGACAGCTGAAATTTGACTGGGTACAGCAAAAAAAAAAAATCATTCATTTTTTTAAAAAGTTACCCAATAGAAGGTGTAACTCCTTATAGATTTGCTCTGCTCAAGTCCCTAGCCAAGTCCAGAAATAGATTTTTTTTAAAATGCCAAAACTTTTTAGTGGAACAAGGATTGCTACTTTTCAAAGGACACTAAATGCCTGGTGTTACCTGATTAAATGCCCAGTGTGCTGGGTGGGTTGGGCTCTGCAGGTTTGTAGAGGCGGCAAACATCTCATTGAAGGTTCGGGATGATCTAGACGGCTGCTGAAGTTTGCTACGAAGGAAAAGCATCCCCCCAAAATGAAAGTGTGCCTCCACACAACCATGAAAAAAATATGTCTCCACTAAAAGCATGACACAGGAGGGCTAGTTCAATGAACAATATGGCAAAAACTACAAGACTTCTTTGCAGGGAGAAAACAGGGTTGCACTTATCTGTAACTGCTGTTTGTCAAGTTGACTTCTGTGCAGGCACATATTGAGGACTGCACACGGGCAGGCTGGCCATCAGAGAGAACTTTCTAGGTTCTGTGGAGTGCAAAGATCCCCCCCCCTTGGGGTACAAGGTTGCTTTTCCCCACTGAAACCATTGTGTGCTATGAAGGAGAAGCCATGAGACCACCACATGCCATGAAGGCTCAGTTCTCCCAAGCTGCCAGAGTCCCCAGAGGAAAAAAAACCCCACAGAGCTCATCGTGGGGAAATGTGTGCCTGCACAGAAGGCAACTCAACAAACACAGTTACACGTAAGTGCCACCCTGTTTTTGTCTTCAGCCTTCTGTGTAGTCCCACATTGGGAGAGTAATAAGCTACTCACCAGAAGGTGGGTGTGAAGCTCTCAGTCAAAGAGAGAATGAAGAACAGCTTTCCCACCGGCTGATTCTTGTCTAGCATACAGTCCACAGCATAATATAAAAATGTCAGCAGAAGACCAAGCAGTCACTTTGACAACTTCATGTAGAGGAACACCATGAACGCTATGAAGGCAGGCAGCTGAAGACGATGAGAACTGGTAGAATTGGGCTCCAACTAACAACGGACATGAACTGACAGGATGCTCATAACAGAGTTTAATAGTCTGACGATGCTGCATAGCCCTTACAAGGGCTGGCAGACTGTGGTCCTGATGAAAACTCTTTGTCTTTTGTAAATAAAATAACAAAGCTCTTTTAACATAAACAGGAGCATGTCAGCTCGGGTCAGGTGTTAACTTAGAGTTGACCTTAGGCAGTAAGTGAAGGGTAGGCCACAACACCACTCTGTGAGGAAAAATATTGAACAAAGGAAGGGCCTTCCCTAAGAGCTGCCTGCTCCCCAACTCTCCAAGCAGAAGTTACCGCCACTAGAAAGCACACCTTCAACGCAAGCAGGGAAACAAAGCACATAGCCAAAGGCTTAAAAGGTGGTAAGATGAGCTGTGGTAACTCTGAAGAGAGGCTCCATTGTGTAACAACAGGGGCCCTCGGTAGGTAACGGTTGTAGAGGCCCTTCAAAAACTGTCTAAAAGTGTGCTGGGGAAAAACTGTGGGACCATCTGTGAAATCATGGAAGGCGGAGATTGCTGCTAAATGTATTTTCACAGATGTTGGTGCTAGTCCTGACCCTTTTAGGGAAAGGCGATAATCTCAAATAAGGGGCAGAGAATGGGATGGCGCAGTTGGGCCCTTTCCCTCTAACCATATGGAGAACCTTTCCCATTTATATGTGTACAAAATACACGAGGAATGCTTACATGAGTGCAAAATGACATTTAGGAGCCCCTGAGAAAAATTCATGAGGGTGGGTTTAGGAGCCGTGCCATCAGGCGTAGCCTGCCAACAACATGATGTAGGAGTGACCCCTGGAACAGATAGTCTGAGGTTGGGGGAAGATAAACATTGGACATGCTCAGAAGTTCTGAGAACCAGACCTGATATGGTCTGGACAATCTTCCCCTGCAACTGCAAAGCAGAACAGGATCAGTGAGAACTGGAAAACTGAGGAACTCCCTTCTGGTACCTCTGATGCTGTTGCTGGTAGTGTTGTCAAGGTAAGAACTGTTGCCAGAAAGATTGGGAAGAAGTTGCAGTCATTTGTAAGAACTTCACTGCATGTTTTCCTCTTTATTTGAGCTAAAATGCCATCCATTTTGGCGGAAAAGAGCTACTCATCTTCAAAAGGTAGGCCTTCTTACCTTAGCATGGGTTTCCAGAGGAAGAGCAGTTGACCTCGGCCGTGCAAAATGCCATGGATGGAGCGGAGCGGTTGGCCACATGACTGCCCACATTCATCTGTTGTTTGGAAAGCTTGCAGCACCTTGGCTAGGGCACGTTTATCATTTGCTATTAAGTCTATAGATAACAACATCCTTCCCCAGAGGAATAACCGGTAAGCAACCATGACGGCCTGATAGTTTGTGATTCTCAGGTTTAGTGAGCTGCAGGATAAACCTTGTGGCCCAAGGTGTCGCTCCTTTGGCCATCCTTGTCTAGAGGACCTGGATGCATGCCATGCCTGTCCTGGGCTGGAATTTCCTTTGTCACAGGGGAGGAAGGTGCAAGGGGATTAAAAAGAAAATGCAGTCAAAGTCTGCTTAACTTTATACAAATCCTCATCCTTCCTTGAAGTGGAAGGAACAGAAGACAGCTTTCCCGTATGTGATCTGCAATGCCAAGGAAGTCCTCAAGCATGGGAAAAGCAACGGAGACTGGAGCATCAGAAGAGAGCGTTGACGGAATCTTGTTCCTGGGCTTGAGGTTCGAGGAGAACACTCTCATTTCGAGGGACTTTGCCATTCTCAACATCTGTTCTGAGTAGAGGCAAAGCTCCACATTTGGAGTGACTGATGTTGTGTCCCCAACTGCTTCTTCAAGTGATGGAGCTAAGGGAAACTTGGATCTAATGTCAGAACAAGAAGCCTCCTCTTCAGCCTCCGAATCAGAGAACTGCTAAGCGGGCAGAAAAGATGGTGGAACCAGCTGGTAAAAGGTTTGGAACGGAGCTAATAGCAGAACACAGGAATGACTAGAAGCAGATGGATAAGACTCACTCCAGGACTGGCAATAAGGTGACTAGGAGTAAGGTGGCTAGGGCCCAGCTGAAAGGACACCGGCCAAGGCATGCCATACTAAGGTTTAGCCAGAAACAGCTGCATTGGAACCAACTGAGCTGGATCCGAGTGAGTTGGGTGGGATGGAACCAAGAAGATCTTCTCCTTGGCTAGTATGAAACAGGTGAGGAGGTCCAAAAGGACCTCACCCTCCAGCACTGAGTCACTGGGATCTTGGAAGTATAGAGATGGAGTCTGTGGAACTAGCAAGTGATCCCCCTTTATCAGATTTGAGACCTCAGAGTGAGCAACAAGGGGAGGCTTCTCAGGATGTTTTGGGTGGACCGGAACCAAAGTCTTCTATAGCTGTTTGGACTTTATTTTAGCCTTCTTGAGAGGCAGTTCCAAGGCACTCTTGTGATGGGCGGTCAGATCTGGGGACCTAGACGAGTGCCTATGTGGATCCAGTGTTGGAACTGAGCCGATCAATGCTACAGAGTCGGGCCCGAAAGAATGTTGTCGCGTGAAAGATGACTCCGCTATCAGCTTGCCTGAGCCCAATAAGGCCCGCTCCCAGATGACAGCAATGCCGGCAGGAACTCACACTGTGAATTCCAAACAAATAACGCAAAGGGTGGGCTCATCTGTTTGGGGCATTTTCGTCCCACATTGGGAACACTTCTTGAACAGCGATTTCTGCAACATCCCAATGAAGAAAGCAGTCCAAAGAAGAATGATGAAAAAAGATTGGAGCAAAAAGAGAACTAATGGGGAAATGGCATCTCTCCTTCACAGCATGTGATGGTTTCAGTGGGTGTGCATTGGGAGAGAGGGGCTCCTTGCCAGTCTACAGAAGCTAGAAAGATGTCTCCCACAGCTGGCCTGTGCATGGGAAGTCCCAATGTGGGACTGCACAGAATATCAAAGACGAACAGTTGTACCTTGAAGACTCTCTTCCCTGAAAGCGGTGTAATTTGGGTACAGTTTTCACCAAAAAGACAGAATGGAATCTGGGCTGCAATGCTACAGAGTGGGTGGGTGGAAGGGAGTTTAATGTACCTTCAATGAAAAAAACCATTCCCATCACATTGTCATGGATATTTCCCAAAGTATAGGGCAACAGTTGCTAGACTTGACCAAACACCTAAAGATGCCAAAAAAGGAGTTTAGAGGTCCAGAACAGAATAGCTTTGGAGAAGGATAAGATAGAAGGAGGTGACACAATATGGTCTTTTACAGATTAGGAAGCATCTAACACATCCCAATAGTTAGTACTATTTGTTGAGCTCAAGAGACCAAGAATGTGCAACTTTATAGAAGTGAAGATATGGTTGAAAGATGATGATGAAGAAGAAGAAGAGGAAGAGGAGACTGGAGAGTGTTTTCATTGAGGGCCAAACAGTATTCATACATATAGAAACTGGTAATCACAATTTTTAAATATACTTTCTTAAGATAAAAAGTAGCACGAATGAACTAACACTTTTTTATATATTCTAAGACATTTCAACTACAGATAACCTTGAATGGTGTTTGAAGTTATAAGTTAATGAGTTATCTATGTAATAAATATGGATGAGTCACTGCTCACTTCTTCTGAAGAAGTGACTAACATTAAGTGGCTAACATTAAGTGAAAAAGTGACTAACAGACTAACATGGCTACCTATTCTGAATTACAGATGGTATAATTTTCTGTCGATTCAATCAATGTTAACAGTGCAACAGTTGTATTTTAATGAAAGCTTAAAATAGAAGCAGGGATTCTCTAATAATATCACTTATGTACTTTACTCTTAATGAACCTAAACATTATTGGGGTGTGCTTCCAGCCAGGAGTTAAATGATCTGATACGGGAAAGTTAACTAGAGACCAAGGGCTTCTTAAGTGCACCCCTGTGTCTGAATCAGGCCTGACTAGAGCCATTCAGAAAAACACGGAATGCCAGTAAGGTCAGGGAAAGGCCTAGGTGCTCTGCAAACTCTTCTCTATTTAATGCATAAGATCAGATTTTCATTTCTCTTCACTCATTCGCATGAGCTTGGATTCAGTAAACGGGTTCTGTATGTGCCAGACAGTCTCTACCGTGGACGGTGCTTCCTTTTCCACCGGCATTTCTGTTAAATCAACAAGTCTGTAAATGGAAGTGCTGGCACAACAGAAAGAATACTCCGCAGCAGAGACTACATAGCATGCACAGAACTTGTTCATAGGACCCGTGCCGTATTTTTGAGCATGGTGATATAGCAAGAAATATTCTGAATGCCTATTGGAAAAGAGAAACTTATCCACCTGCATCTAAAAAATATGCTACTAAAAAGCGAAAAGAAACAGAAAAAACCCACGGGGACACACACACACACACACACACACACACACACACACACACCACCATACCTGCCTTCGGGCTTTCTTATGGGAATGTCATAAGCTCTAATGATGTTCACCAAGAGGCTGATGTCCCCATCGGAGAGGTTCTGAGCCGTGATTTTTTTCCTCTCTTTTCGTCTGGGCTTCAGGGGCCGCTTAGGCGCCGCCAGTTTAAAAAGACTGAGTCCCAAAATGCTAATTATAAAAGGAGAATTCAAGAGGTTTGCACAGGCTAAGACACGACTTACTGTCACCACAAAACACCAGACACATTCAAGATTTTGAGTGAAATCATACCAAGGGAATACACAGTATATGAGGAAGGAGAAGCACTCGGCATCTAAGTTATGATGATGCTCTACGAAACATGCCTATCTGGATGCATGCATCATAACCAAGCAGGAACCACTCTAGGGAAGGAGCGATCACGCGAGCAGTGACATACCCTTGGCCACCAGAACTTAACAGAAGGCAAAGTGGAACAAAAAGAAAAACACGAGTAAAACACAGATCCAGGAATATGTACAATAATGTTAACCTTCACACAAAACAAGCAAAAAGAAACAATGCAGGCACAAAACAAACTAGCTTAACATCCCCAAACTAAAACACAAACATAAAATGTAACATATGTGTGTGTGTGGGGGGGCATAACTTGATAAAGCCACCATAGAAACCCAGTTGAGAGCTAGAAAAACACCAATAAACTGAGCAAAAGTTGTATCGATGTGGTCTACGCCATGGCAAAGGAAATGTATGCACCATGCACATCTTCTCTACTGAGGTTTAGAAGAAGTCCCAGCATGAAACTAAACACAGCAGAAGGACTGTTAAGCACTGGGAGGAAATTACATGTGGACAAAATCCCACACCTATATGCGCCCCCTTGCCCAGTTAGTCCAGATTTTTGGGCTGGGTTGTCATCAACATGCTGATGACACCCAGCTTTGTTAATGGCAAAGGAAATCCACCTTCTGTTCCTGAAAACCTGGCCGAGGCTTTGGACGCTGTGGCTGGATGGGTGTGGCAGAGACGGCTGAAGTTAAATCCATTGAAGACGGAGGTCCTGTACCTGGGTCGGGGGGGGGGGTTAGATGTGGGCACCAGGCTCCCCACACTGGAAGGGGCGCCTTTGGTGCTGGCCCAGACAGTGAGGAGCCTGGGAGTAATATTGGATGCTTCTCTCTCTACGGAGGCCCAGGTTGCTGCAGTTGCCAGATCTGCCTTTTTCCATCTTAGGCACAGTAGGTTACTGAAGCCCTATCTCTCCCCCAAGACTTAGCTATGGTGACCCATACAATGGTCACTTCCAGGCTTGATTACTGCAACTCGCTCTACACAGGCTTGCCCTTGAGGTTGACCCAGAAATTGCAACTGGTGCAAAATGCGGTGGCATGACCGCTGACGTTGATGCCTGTGTGGGCTCACATTCAGCATGTGTCCCGCCAACTGCACTGGTTGCCAGTTGAGTACCAGATTCGCTTCAAGGTGCTGGTGATGATCTTCAAAGCCTTATATGGCCTGGAAAGAACCTATCTAAGGGAAAGCCTCTTCCTGCATACGCCTCAAAGAGTGCTACACTCTAAAGAGCCTACGGGGAGGGCGGGATAAAAATCTAAATAATAAATAAATAAACACCTTCTGGCGGTCCCTGGCCCGAGGGACGTCTGGCTTGCCTCAACCAGGGCCAGGGCTTTCTCTGCCCTGGCTCCAGCCTAGTGGAACAGGCTCCCCATTGAGATCAGGGTAGGGCTGCCAAGTCGTATTTATCGTTTAGCGGGGGGAGTCCTTCACCTCCCCAGGAGGCTACTTGCGCATGTGCAAAGTGCGCACGCTGCGATTACATCACCCAGAAGTGACGTCATTGCATCGGGCACGTTGGGGGCGGGGCCACAATCATTCGAGGGGAAACCATAGAGTTTTCCCTCAAATGACAGAGTGTCCCCCTGCAACGTGGTCGACGCGATGCCGTCACCTCCGGGTGACATATTCAGGCTGGGCACGTCTCACACTTTGGTGGCGGGGTTCCCCCCGGCAGCCCAATCTGGGCTGGCGGGGAACGGGCCTATTGAGCGGGGGTTTCCCCGCCCCCCGGGGGGACCTGACAACCCTAGATCAGGGCCCTGTGGGATCTTCTTCAATTCCACAGGGCCTGCAAGATGGAGCTGTTCCGCCAGGCCTCTGGCTGAGGCAGTGGGCAGGCACCCATATATGGCCGCCCTGAGGTTCCCGTCACCCACCCAGTAATTGCTGGCCACTACCTCATCTGTACCAATGGGCCAGAATCTATCACAGCCAGCTGATTTTTGTTCTTAAGCTGTAATCACCAATTTTAATGTTTGTATTGTGTTTTCAATTTTACCCACCCACCCCAGCCTGTTCGTGGGATGGGCAGGATATAAATACAAATAATAAATAAATAAATAGATATGTTCAAGGCCGTGGGCATTCCTAAAACAGTTGGCAGGATACCTGCAGGGCTATCTGAGGCACTGCCCCAATGCCTCACACATTTTAACCTTGATAAAAATTTCATTTATTTATTAACTTCAGTTATACCCCAACTTGCTCCCCACAGGGGATCCAAAGTATCTTACAACCAGTGTTCCCTCTAAACTGAGTTAGTGTGAGCTAAAAGGTAAAGGTAAAGGTTCCCTTGCTCGAAAGCCAGTCGAATCTGACTCTAGGGTTGCGGACGGTGCTCATCTCCGTTTCCAAGCCGAAGAGCCAGCGCTGTCCGAAGACGTTTCTGTGGTCATGTGGCCGGCATGACTAAACACCAAGGCGCACGGAACGCTGTTACCTTCCCACCAAAGTGGTACCTATTTATCTACTTGCAATTTCTTGCTTTCGAACTGCTAGGTTGGCAGGAGCTGGAACTAGAGACGGGAGCTCACGCCGTCTTGCGGCACCCGGGTCTCTCAAACTGCTGAACGACTGACCTTCCACAGCCTGCAGTTCAACAGCCACTTGAGCCACCGCAGCTCCATTAGTGTGAGCTAGCTCACAGTTTTTTTAGTCTCCGGCTCACACGTTTTTGTCTTCGCTCAGGAAGGAGGGCTCCAGAGCAAACTAATTTATGCAGCGGCCAAATCGCTCGCTCACAACTTTAGTGCCAGTAGCTCACAGGACTCCACAGCTTAGAGGGAGCACTGCTTACATCATTCTCCTCTCCTCCATTTTATCTTCACAACAGCCCTGTGAGGTAGTTTAGGCTGAGCATGTGTGACTAGGCCAAGGTCACCCAGTAAGCTTCCACAGCAGAGTAGGGATTTGAATCTGGGTCTCCTAAACCCTAGTCCGACACTGTAATCCCTACCCTATAAAAATATCGGTGTGGGGGGGAGTTACACCAATACTTCTTTCCCCAGCTGAATGGATATTCTACACCTGGAGCCTCCTGCAATGTTGAAGAGGCCGTGCTGGACTCTTGAGTTATCCAGATGAACCTTCGTAATGATGTGCGGGCTACCAAAAAGGTGCTCTGGTGATCCACACAGCATCCATCTGGTCCTTGAGTAATCAGATGATTTAGGAATAATGAGCTTCAAAAGCATAGCATGTTTAAAACATTTGGCCACACACTCCCATGGATCCACTTTCATCTTCCCCTCCTCCCTCTGTGGCATCCACTGTACTCAGTTCTTAGATCTTCAGCGCCTTGGAAGAGCATCGCGCCTTTCTGCTCGTCCTCTGCAAAGTACCAGGAATGCTCAGAGCACTATACATGCGCAAGGGAGACCGACTTCCAATAAACAAGAGCCTTTTAGGTGCGCACGTGATCACAAACCCAACATGCTTTTAAAACAAACATCCCACGAAAGTTTCATTAATGCAAGACAGACATTTCGTCAATCGAGCACAGCATGCAACATCACATTTGGAAACAGAATGGGCGTGAATGTCCAACAGATGGTACTGCTTTGGTTCCTACTGGAGAACATTTAAATGTTGCATCTGCAGATGGGATTTTGGCTGCCTCTGCTCCTGGTCCATCAAGAAACGATTCTCTATTTTGTTCAGTTAATCAGGGTTAGTGACTCACCTCCTTACAGGCAACTTGTTTCCCCCACCCCCCTTCAGGGATCGTCCCAAATGCATCTTCCCGCCCCCACCTCATCTAGTCTTTGGAGTCCCTTTAAGTGGGTGGCCGCATCCCCACAGGGCTTTTCATTCCTCCTCCAGCTGCCCCCAAACTGCCCACCCACGTTTGACTCCCCACTCTTGCTTGGCCCTGGGAAAGTTTTTATGCTTCTTAACAGGGCTATTTTGGGGCAGGAACGCACAGGAACGGAGTTCCGGCTGGCTTCAGAGTTGGCCACGCCCACCACAGCCAAAACCTCTGCGTGCGTGGCTACAGAGGGAAGGCCTGGAGAGCGACACCCCCACCCCGTGACTCAGAGGCGGGCGGGCCTGGAGAGCGACACCCCTGTAATGTATTGAAATGATTTCATGAATCACCTCATAGGACTCCCATGTTAAGCTTCGAGCCAGACCAGGGCTCCTCTGAGCGAACTTCCTATTGGTCGCTTCGTAACAGCGACCAATCAGAACGATACCATTCCCTAGGAGGGAAAGACTCCCATTGGTCTTTATTCTAGCAATCTCATTGGTTGTTATTTGTAAATAGGCGTGGCTACATTAGCCCGGTTATGTTTAAAAGGAGCATAAGCTCCCACTGTTTTCTGTTCTGGTTTCTTACTGAGTTGAGTGCTTGTTCGTTACTTCTAAATAAAGCTGAATCACTTGCTGAATCACTCTACGGGTCCTTTGTTAGCGCGATCTAACAATTGGCGACGAAGGTGGGATGTTAGAGCAGGTAGGCAGCCCTGCGGACATCCACACTTCGGACTCGGAAGAAAGCGAGCAGAGCACAGCAGCCGATCCGGCGGAGGCGCCACCAGCTCCGGTGCCCAAGTCTCCCACGATGGCTGGAAGCCAGAAGTTCGAGTGCTTCGAACCCTCCTCAGAAGACTGGGACTCCTACCTGTCCAGGTTCGAGTTCCATCTGGAGACCCACGACATCACCGATGAGGCGAAGAAACGAGCATGCCTCCTGAGTTCCTGCGGGAAGGGGACCTTCGACATAGCCAGGTCGTTGGTGGCCCCAACTGATATAAAGACTGTCACCTACGCTGACATCACGGAGAAGCTTAAGGCTCACTATTCTCCACAACCGTCGGAGATCGCCTGCC